TTTTTTTAATATGACTTAATTTGAGTAAATTCTTCCAAAAATTAGCTATTAAAGAAACAATTGAGGAAATCCGGGAATTTACCGCATACCATACAAGGCATTAAAATATGATTCATTGCAATGAACTTTTAAAAATATTTTCGGTCGCAGTGAAAAAGGTTGATGTTATATAATCTTATAATCATGCATAATATGATACATTTATCCGAATAATTATATAATCGCACAATCCTATATATTATTTCTAAATGGTGTTTTTTTGTCGGTACGCCATAACTGGGTCAATTCTTCATAAAATCCTATGATTGACCACTCATTTTGAAGGTATTCTTCTCCTTCACATGCGAAAAATAGTCCTATTCCCTGGGAAAAAGTTATGAAGGAAAAGAAACTTTATTCGCGAATAACTCAATACAGTCCATTAGTTTTGGTATACTTAATAATGACTTCATCTTAAAAGATATTGCATTTAGGAGTAGAATAGTCTACTACACTTTTTCTCCTGTATGATATATTAATTTTATTATTTCTTACAGACAATTGTTTGTTCTTACATTTAATTTTTTTTAATAGTTCAGAAAATCCTATGATCGGAACATTATTTTGTCTTTATTACTTTTATTATCTTTCCAGTCAGCGTTTAAAAGTAGGTCCTAGCAAAGCCGTTTGTACAAATATTTTGGTTTATTATGTTAAATAGAATATTTTATTCGACCAAGGAAAAAATATTAATTCCTTCCTTACATAATACATAGGAACTACTTATTTCCATATTGTTTTGCTATTTCTTCACTAAACAAAATTGTCTGCGAATTATTCGCACGGGCCAACTAGTGATAAAATATAACATTTAATGGCGAATCTTGATTGGTGCACTTCTTGTACAGGGTTTCTCGTAAATAGAGGGAGGAAACATATAAAGGTGTGATAGAATAGCTCGAGTTTATATAAACAACGGTCTGATTTTCGGCAGAAAAATAGAAAATTTAAGTTGTTTTTTTCTGTTTGTTTTTTTATGTCGCGTTTTTCGTTGAATAGCGAGCGATAACTGAAAAAAAAAACGTTTAGTTTATGAAATTAACAATTGCACCACAGTAAACAAGACGTTATTGTCTTCAAATGAAAGCAGATTTTAAAACCATTCAAAAAAAGATTTTTGAGCTGCTAAACTAAGCTAACTTCTGTTTTAAAACAAATCATTCTCCGACTCTAGTACAGGTGCCCCATTTTTATATTATTAATTTTATTTATTTGTTTATTTAGAAATATTACATTCTGTCACATCAAGGACATTTATAATAGTATATTATTAATTAAAGTTCACATTATTAATTAAAGTTCATATTATTAATTAAATTCAAATTTATTGGGGAAAATGTTGAAATTCATCTCAAGCTGTGTAAAAAATTATGTGATTTTATATAGTGTCAGCTAATTGCATGAGCGTTTTAAACAAAAATGACTACAATAAATTATTGCAAAACTTTTATTTATTGTTTTCCATGATCTGGGATGTATTTTAATAAATATGAATGCATAAAGAGACTTTGTATTTCTAATAATAGTATGTTAAAAATAATAATTTATCATCTTAAGTAGAACTTTTTTTTTTTTACCAAGTCAACTACAATTGATCCTATTGATTGATCCAAAGGAATTGATCCTATATGTTTCTAGTCATAATATTTACGTTTTCATAAAAATAATTCAAGCAATCAGCTTAATGTAAATGTTTCTTTATTTTAAACATAAATATTTGTGTTTTCCAAAAGCGGGGTATCTGTTGTATAGTTGGAATATGATAAAAAAAAAAAATCATGAATCATTTATGATTTTTTTTTTTTATACAAAACTGAACTTAGTTTAGCCGCTCAAAAAACCTCTTTAAATAGTTTTGTTAGTATCAAACTCTACCTTAATTAGAAGAGAATTAAGTCCAGTTTACATTGGAGTAATTTTATTAAATATTAAATAAGACTTAAATTAAATATTTTTTAGTTTCGCTTCCTATTCAACGAAAAACGTGACTTAAATAAACACAAAACTTAAATTTCCTATTTTTCTGCCGAAAATCGGACCATTGTTTATTATATATCTTTTTTTTAGCTCTTGAAGTCTGCCAGAGGTGCCCATCCTCCTCCCCTCCCCCCAAGGGAGATGGCGCAATCAGGCACGGTCAGTTCCATGTGCTATCCTTGTCCATTAGTCCGAAAATTCATAACCCCGACGAAATTTGTCCCCCTCAAAAATTCAAAAACCCATCAAAATATGCTCCCCTCAAAAATTCAAAAACCCATCAAAATAGGCTCCCCTCAAAAATGTTGATGTCGCAACTTGCGTCATGAAACCCTCTTCTGAGCCATGACCCATGAAGTCTGCTATCGCCCTTTTAAATATTCCTCTCTACTTACAGGACGCTATATCACTCAAAGCCCCCCCCTTTTTTTACTGGTTAGATTACTTTGAAGGAATTATGTAAAATGCCAAGAGATGTGAAGAGAGAGACAGAGCTCATGTTTGGATAGCCCCCACTTAGTTTAGTACTTCGCCTCTCTCTCACTTTCTCTGTTTTGTTTAACTCTTCGTATTTTCTTTATGTAAGGTATTTTGGATGGAATATTTGAACTTTCATTTTTTTTTTCTACTTTTGCTCAGCAAAGTGGTTTTCAACGCAATTCATCAAGGACCAAATAAATTTACATATTTATTTTTCTTCGTTGATTACAAAGGTTTATAATTTTAAATAATAACGTATTTCATTCTTATGTAGGAGACTAAGCTATCATTACAATTTAACATTAACTGGCGAATAAATAGTAGCAATTACATCTCATGGGATGGTAAGTCAAGAAAATAAAATTAAAAAAAAAACAGTACCATTGCAATCCTAGATGTGCCTTGAGTTCTTAAGAAAACAATTGTTACTAGGAGACACTAGCGGATCTAGGATTTAATTTTGGGGGAGGCTTCAGCCCGGAAGCTTTTTTTTTCATATATATAACGATAATTACTTTAGAAAAACAGAAAGATACTAACTATCTATATGAAATGGTGTTTAAGTGATTCTTGAAGTCCTATTAAATGTAATTAAACGAGCAATAATACTTTAAGACATAATTTTTAAATATTTTTTACCATAAAACATGGTTACATTTTACCATTTTGGGGGGGGGCTTCAGCCCGAAAGCCCCCCCGTAAATTCGCCTGTGCTAGGAGACGATGTTATCGTCAACACTAATGCTTAACTGGCTACTATTTCCTACAACTTACTTCTGAGCTTGTTACTCACTTGATTTAAGATGGTTTTACCAAAGGAGGGTCTTTTCTCATTTCCATAATCGAACCTATGCTGAAACAATAGAAAATAAATCTTTTGTTATAGCTGGATTCGAAGCAGGAATTTGGGAGTCTGTCTGGTACCTGAGCTATCCAACTCTATTATTTTTATTTTGTTTATTGAACGATAATACGATCTGCCTCATTGAAAGACAAGTATTAAGGCTATAAGTGTTCATTCATACAATATATACAAACAAGAGGGAAATAAATGTATATAATTAAAGGAATTAAATAAAAGTACTCTTATCTTATCACAACTGGTAAAATGACAATTTACTTAATTATTGATTAGCTTGTCCCACTGAAAAATATATCTCCAATTTAATAGTCAAGCGATTACGTACAACTATACACGAATAATCCATAATTGCACTCGTTCAAAACTTATTTGTTTGTAACATAAGTGCTTTGGTTTATAGGTCTCACTAGAAGAACATAGAAGTCAATTACTAAGAGTATAGAAGCCATATTTGATTTTATTTTAATTATTAAAAATAAACTTTTCCGTGAAATTCCCTTTTGTTTGATTACCAAATCACGAAAAACCATCGATCCTCAGAGCCGAATTAGGGATCTATACTACCTCATTACAGATTCTGTACATTGAAAATATATATATATAAACTGAAAAATCGTTATATAACAACAAATATTTATTTTTTTCCTCCCAAGGCATTGACACTGGTAACTATCGAATACTGTCGTATTAAGATGGACGGACAAATTACCTGAGGAAGTTTGACTGGTTGATTTATAAATTCAAATATATTCATGAGGACATCCATTTGTATTCAATAACATTCAACGATCAGACTTCTAACTACGTCCAAGCTATGGGCAATAATCCTGAAGAAGAATCAATAAGCTTTCAATGGCATGGGAACATAAAAATTTTCAAGATAATCTAATATGTACATTCCTAACTCGCCAAAATGCACAAATTACACATTAACAAATAAATAACAATGGAAACAATTTTTTAAAATTTAAATTCTGCCCCTCAGGACAAGTGCCCACATGCGCCCTCCCCCCTTTTCTAGTTCCAATCCTGTACTAGATCCACTAGCACAGAGGTTACAACGTTTTTATTTTATAATAACGGTTATAAATCACAGCAGTGACTGATTTTGCTTGAGAATCATTCATTAACGACAAGGGTCAGTGACATCATGATGGACTAGAGTTAATGGGCATGTTTCCGACTCAACTATCCTTCCCAATTCGATTATTATTTATTTGAATTCGAGCACCAACGAATTACATTTATCCTGAAGTAAAAAAACAAAACAAAATAGAAGCATATTACATATTTCTTTATAACGTTATTCATTGCTCTGGTACGCAAGTAATAAATAATAACCAAATTATTTTTTAAAATAAAGATTTATCTGTCTAAATCGATAAAATCAATAATAAGAGCTATAAAAAATACATTCGAAATATTTTATAAATGCGTAAGGTATTTATTCCACTTTTCCACGTGGCTAGAAAGATAGAGGGAGGGAGCATGTAATACAGATTTTTAAAAATCTTTTTAATGCGAAACAGTTTTGATATAATTGTACACTAATGAGTTACAAAGGATATTTTACAACGTATGGTAATTAAGATCAATAAGGAAATTTAGAAAAAATAGGAAAAGGTCGTTTCATCCCCTCCACAAGTCCCCCACCACTTTCAGAAAGTGGACTCGTTGATGGAGCAGAAGGTTGTGCAGTTTCGTTGGTGTCGTGGCTTGTTCGTTCGTGACTGAATTAGTTGGTGTTATGCAGTGAAGTTTTGTGTTTATCAAACATAATTGTGATATTATATTAGTGTAAATATATTTTATTTATTACGGCTCATAGTTACCTTAGAACAATGAAGTTTTTAATTATAGCCTTTTGTATGATATTCGTTGGTAAGTATTAACATTATCGTTATTTAATATTATATCGTTACAGATTTATTTACTTAATTCTGTTGTATTCCAATCAATGTAATTCAAACTTTCTGTATGCTACTTCATTTCTTACAAATGTTCTACTGAATGTTTTGTTAGGACAGAGGTATTAACCTAATTCATTTAATATATCCACAACACTTAAAGAGAGTTTAATCTTATTTTTAGTATCTGGAGACATAGCACAGAATGATAAAATCAATTCAGTCACCGAAGAGAGTCGTGATGCTTTAGGAAATGTGGAATTGCCTCCCGGCATGGACAAAATATTATCTAGCCTTCCTAATATCGACGAAGGAGAAGATATGTTCAGAGATAAGTGTTTGAAGACTGGAACTAATGAAACGTACGAAAATGCTACTGTAAGTGTCATTTATATAATTAGCTTTAGGTCGCATGTTTGTAATTGACTGTTGATCTAGGAAATGAACTATGGACGTTTGTCGCAATAGTTACACAAAGGTAGGAATTTTATCTCTGTGATAGTAGTAATCATGTATACAAAGTTCAATAGCATTTTAGAACAGGTCACTAAAAGATACAGTATAGATTTCATCACTCATTTCCTAACAGTAATCATTAATTGACTAAAGATTATGTAAAACTTTAATTACCACCCTATTACAAATAATCATTCTTCTTCTCCACATATCTATGGTTCTTGCTGGATTTTTTTTTAATCGAAATTTTTAAAATTAGTTTCATTAATTCTTTGAGAAGGGTAATTAAACAACTTAATTATTCCAAAAATATGACATATAATATTTCCCCTTATTCTGTAGTAATTACAAATTAAATGTAAAAATTGGTATTGTTTTACACCAATATGAAATGAGACATTGTTTCTTTTTGAAATCACTACTTTTTAAGGATTAGATGAAGAGAATAACAATGAATCAACAATTTAATAAAAATAAGTTTGTTGTGTATGGCTTTTAAAAAAGGTTGTTTGTCATATAATAGTTTAAACATGTTTTGATCAGATTCAAAATTTTATTTTCACTTTATATTTTTGACTTTCACAGTTTGTTATTTTATCATGTTTTTATGTTTTTTTTTTAAGTACCCAATTTAAAAATAAAACAAATTTGAAGCTAAAAGATCGTAGTTGTACTTCGTTGGATGGAATTATTTTTATTCAAAAACCCACTCATTTCAGAACATTTATTGCACTAAATTTTACTTAATTCTTTATTTGTTTCCTATCAATGTAGAAATTAAATATGTATCTGTAATTGTGATAAGGGTCGCTATTTTGACCTTGGCCAAATGTCATCACCTACCTGACCCCATGTTAATTGTATTGGTTCTGTTATGAATTCTTGTTTGAATTATACACATGCCATTTTTTTATTATTATTATTATTATTATTATTATTTGATGGTATCATATTAAATTAATAGTCCATTATAAAAAAGAAAAAGTCAAAATATCATTAAAAAAGTTTATGACATTTTAATTTATCTTATTACATAAATATCATCTTCATTTTTATGAATTATTACTGTGTATAAGTTATATTTAAATGTTACTTTAATTAAAAGTTGTATAATTGGGAAAACATTTCTTTTGTCATATATGTATTTATGCCTGAAATTAAATTACAATCATACCTTATTAATTTATTACTATTTTGTTTTAATATTTTTATTTATGTCGATTTTACTTTTTTCTAATTTTTAAATACAAATTCACATGCAAGCAATCATTTCAAGGTAAATACTCTCATAAAGTGATGATCAGTCATTTGATAAAGATAAATCATTTTCTTAATGACTGTGTTTGGAGGACATCACAAAGAGAAGCTTAGATTTTCTAATTGAGCTCCTGTCTTCCCCCACCTTCCAGGTGTCCATAGAAATCAAGGCTTAGACTATTAAATATGGCATGGAATGAGAGAAAAATGTTTACTACATTTTTATTTTCTCTCTCCTATATAACCCTTGAAAGTCAGTATCATTTATTTCGAATGCATTGGATTGGTTATAATGTTGATTTCTGTATTTATATGTAATGCAAATTACCATATCAACTATCTTATGATTATTTTCATTTAATGAGCCAAGAAAGATTTAGACATCTTCTATAATTTTTTTTTGCATATTAAACTTCATAATTCATAAAAACATGAAAGTTATAAACATAACAATTTATTATTCCTAATTTGGTTAGTTTACCTCTGTAATATTATTAGTTTATTATAATTATGTTTTCGTGGGCAATGAATTAACTATTCTAATTATTTCTTGGGAAGAAGAGGACGGGGATTAATATTGTAATATTTATATGCAATAATAAATAATTACTCTACTTCATTAAATTCGATCTCGAATAATGTCATAAATTGTGCTATTATAACATTCTTTCCATTAATATTTGTTCCTGTTCTTCAAATTCTAATTATTTATATTTAGTAGAAATATTCAAAATAAATAAGTGAATAACTTAATAAACAAAGTTGTATCCATGAAAATTAAACTTTGATTTATCTAAAATGTCCATTTTATTTTCATTACTTCTTTTTTTTAACATTTAAGCATTTTCTGTCAGAATCAAAATATCTATTTATTGATTAAAAACAGAAAAAATGACATTAGAAGCTCCTATCTATGATAAGAAAAATATAATTAATCTCTGCACGTACGATATCACATGTGCCTGTTATTGGTGGTATATTAATATAACCATTTAATTAATATTAAAGTTCACACAAACTTTTTTGAAAACCTGATGGTATAGTTTTTGAAAGGGGTGACTTAAAGTGTTAAAACTCTATCCTAGTTAATGTAAGTTAAAAAATCTATCAAATGCATGTGAATTAAAATTTCGCTATCAAATATTACCATTGAAATGAAATACTTTGGAAGTTACTTAACTAATCTCCATAAATTAAACGTATCTAACTTATTTCCCACAATAGTTATATTTGCTATCATTTACTTCATAAATTTGTCACAAAATTCTCCTAAGCTTCAATTTAACATGAAAAACAAATTGAATTTTATTATACACTAAAGTTCATTTTTTTTTCTGAACATCAGTCTTACGCCAGGTCGATGTGAGTTGCTTCTAGTTCCAGTGAGTTGCCTCACATATGCAGATAGGGGGAGGGAAGGCAGAAATCTCAGGAGCATATCTTTCCTGGTGGACATTCACCCATCCATGATGACGTTACTACGCTCGACGTTGCATAACTTTGATTACCTTAGTCCGCTCGACTATCCTGATCCCAAAGTTCTTTTAAGTAACCTTTATATTTAACATGTTTATGTTTTATTTCAAAGTATTACATTTTTACCAATCAATTATCTTTCCTCGGTTTTGTCAGAACTAAGCTTTACCTTTTAAATTACCATCCTCAACGATCGTCTTAGTGATTGTTATTGAAGTCCGTCATTGTTGGATTAAAAATGAATTAATAATTTTATTTATCTATTTTAATTTTGTTTCTATAAACTGTTTATGAGACTAAGATCATTAAAGATAAATGTTTATTTTAGAAACCTGTAAATCCTCAAAAACTTCATTATTGATCCTCATATTTAAAACTTTAACAAAAGATTACTCTATTTATCAGTAAGTTATTTATAACATTTAAAAAATATTGATTATTGGTATCTAAATAAATCTTTCCTGGCCCTCTACTGACTTCTTGATTGAAACAGATATAAAAGTGTCTGAACTTAAGTATGTGCTTTTTGTATGTTTTAATGTAAGGTATATACTTTACTTGATTTAAATAAGCCTGAATAGATTTGATTAATATTTTAGCTGGCAAAGCAGCAGTTTGAACTGTGTGTTAGTTCATTAGTTGACATTAAAGTACTGAAAGAGGAAATCAATGCTGCTAAACCAACAGGGGATTTAGACATTGTTTTCAAAAAATATTGTCAGTAAGTATAATTTAGTATAGTAGTCGTTAATTCATTTAATTATATTTCTGATAAATTAAAAATAATCAGTTTGGCACAATTAATGAATTTGTTTAAGTTCAATAAAATAAAAATAAAAAATCCTTAAAAATTCTTTTGTTTTATTTTATTTTTATTATAATATTGTAATGATTGTTTTGTTGTTAATGTTGTTAAGTAACTTTTTATTCACCAGTTATTGAAGTATTAATTTTCCTCCTCAATATCTAAAAAATAAAATAACTTCATCTAATACCCTAACAGCATAACTTAGTTATGCTGCATTATTTATTATGGTCTATTTAAATGAATGCATGTATCAGTACTGTAAGTAATAATTAAATTAATAAAAAAAAAATATGTAATAGTTCAATATCAACTTCATAATGTTGGCGATCCTTGATTAACTCTACCTATGCCTTAAGTAATTGCTTTTTGTTGTGACTTGTTTCTTATATGTTTTTTTTAAAAATTATCAACTTATTTCAGTAAAACTCCTATACTGAAGAGCTGCATTAGCGACCTTTTGGTTGGTTACGAAGGCTGTTTGAAGCCTGAAGAGCGAGGAGATGTCTATATTCTTCAGAACATTACGGATTCTCTGATGAATTTTGTTTGTTTTAAGGAAGGAGATCGAATAGCTTGTAAGTATAATTAAAAAAAAAATAATAATCTTAGTATATTGCATGCTCACTATAGAAGGTAGGAAACCTTTTTATTCATGCAATAAGTGAAAATATTTTGTCCTTAAAACAGAAAATTTCCTCTTATTTTTTAAATTTTAATTGTCAGGAAACAAATTTGGTTTCATGTCTGTCTGTAGTCAAATTCGTGTAATAGACATAAAAGCTACTACATATCCGATTTTGCTTAAATTTTCTGAGATTGGGTTTGATGTGAACATTGACTATCCTCTATCAAGTAGTTAGGGTAGAGAAGGGATTATAGGTCAATAAATTGCAAGATTATTACGCCATTCCCATATCAAGTTTTTCATATTCCTTAAATTTTATTTGCAAATTTTGTCTAATTCTGAAATTAAAAGAAAGTTAGGGGTTAGTATAAAAATGACTCAGTATTAATGTTATCAAATTCTATCCATTGCTCTCGCTTACACTTGAGCAAATTTTTTTTCCCCTTTTTTATATATTAGACTTATAACGCGTAAGACATTTTCCTACATTTCAAATATGACTTGTCTGATTTGAAACAAATTTGGGTACTAATGTACAAATGGTACAGTATCCATTTCATCTAATTCTGTATTTATAGTATATTACACCATGAATATGTTATTTTTATGATAAATTAATTTTACTTACAATAAAGCTGTTGTATAGATTTACAGATACTGATCCAAGCTAAACTTTATAGTTCTTAGAATCATTTCTCCTTGTCCATAATTGAAATAATAGTATGATCTCATCACACTTGTGCTGTGTAAACCAGTTTCCTCATTAGCCTCGTGGATCAGTACTACTCTATTAATGATTTTTGTTTCATAAAGTTTATCATTCTGTCTACTACCGTTAATACTTTATATTAGTGTTCTCTGCCTTTTTCTTGTGTTTTGACTATCCTTACTATTCATAGGTCTAAGCGGTCTTCTGCTCACTTCCGCTTGTATATATCAGGCCTGAGAGTGCTTATCTCCTTACTGTTATTTTGTTTTTACGATTATCTTGCTTTTATTTCTTTCCTCAAATTCAGAAAGCTTGATCCGCTGTTTATGCTATGTTTTTTTTTTTTCTTAACCATCTACTCCCTAGGAGATATTGTTCTAAACCTATTCTAACGAGAGTGAGGAGGTCGAGATTCATTCTGTTTGTTTGCCACAAGATAAATAAATTTCAACATGCCTAGGCCGAATTAGAACTTCCGTCTCTATATTAAATCATGGCCTATTTGGCATAATTGTCCTGCAATGCCTTGAATCTCATACCCTTAGCTTGCCTATCATCGGGGATTTGGAGACTCATTCTGTCTCTACCTTTCCTCATTTTATCTAGCTCCATTCTTGAACACGTTGTTGAGACGTCCTGTAAGGCATCAGCAGTTTTCCCTGTTGAAAATATTTCAAGATCATAGTTTTAAGTTTGGATTACATTGTATGTCGATACAGTATGAAAGTATGTTGTTAATTTGCTGAAATTTATTTTAGTATTCATTGCTGAAGGAGGGCCTGAATGTCTGAATGATAAAATGGAAAAAATTAGTGTCTGTGTTAACTCTACAGTCAATGCAGCCAAAGGTAATCTCAATGTTACTACAGAAGAAATTCCTGACATAGTTTTTGACTCCGAAAAGTGTGGGTAAGTTTCAACTAATATATTTTTCTTTGTAAAAATAATTTTAAGTAATCAAAAAAAAGAAAAAAATAATTGTTAGAATATAATCACAATTTTAGGCTTATTTTTGAAATGTTTCAATTACAATGTATTGATTATCAGGTATTAATTTAAATTTAATATTAGTTATTCATCAAAATATATATATATAACAGTAAGTTTTTATTTTTCCCAACATTGTTTTTCTCTCTTCAGGGATACTGCACAAAATTTATAGAAAATTAAAAAAAATATTTTATTGTTTTTCGGGCTACTTTTGTTCATTACCAGCAAAAAAGAATTACATTATCCTGTTTCTCTATGCAATGTAATTAGTCTAGAAATTATAATAAAACTTAAATTATATTTTTTTTCTGAGTTTCTACCCTTGATGTAAATTTTCGGTTTAAGTGTAATTTCCATTCCATTCAAATTATTTATGTTTCTATAAACTTTTATAAATGCCTTGAACGATTCCCCCAATAGCATAATCTGGTACTCTTCTGGTTTACATAATCACAGTAATTGATCACTTCACCATTACGCAATAAAACTAAAACAAAAATATGTAGTACTTTTTAAATTTCATTAATAAAAATTAATCATTTCTTTTTTTTACCTACAAAATTAAACCTAATAATAATAAATAGAAAAAAATTATTTTTACAATTTTTTTTTTTTTTTTTGATTAATTAATAAGTTCTGCTATTCAGTATTTTCTTTATTGAGAATCACATCGCTGATCTTTTGAAGAAAATATAAGAGAGCCTAGTGGTAGAACTTTTAAATACAACTTGAAAACAAATTATTAACTGAATCATTCGTTTTGTTCCAGCTATTTCACACAAGTTCAGAAGTGTGTTGTTCAAGTTCTTGAAGAGTGTTCAGAGCCAACACCAGCCAACATCATTGGGAGTCTTTTTGACTTCGTCCGGAAATCTACACCCTGCAAACAATATTTGAAGGCATCTGGGTCTTCAAAATCTGTAGTGTTTTCTGTTATGTCTTTCCTGGTGCCACTAGGGGCGATAATACTTTCTAAAATATAAAGACTACCTTTTCCAAGGCGGAAAGGCTCCACATCGTACCTCATTTTTTTAAATGCATTTTTTTTTTAACAGTTGAATGGAGGCAAGTCGAAGAATCTTTAAATTTATTATACCTGAGTAAAAAGAATTATGTACAGTCGATGCGGCAGTATGATATTTAATAAGTACAATTTTTGCCTAACGATTTGCTGTTTGCCAAAAAAACAAAACAAGATCGTCGATTAATTTTAGGGTTAAATTATCCATAGAAACTGCACTTTTAATTTTATTTCTACTCTTTATTAGAAATTATTTTAGTTAATTCTTAAAATACTATGGCATATTACTAATATTTTCTATGAATACAATTTGAAATTGTGATATTATGGTATATGTATATGAAGTGTAAAGTATCTGAGATACACTTAAATCTAAATGTAATGTTAGCCCAAAGTGCGTGCCTTATTACAAATAAAATATATCCTTTTGCTGAATATTTTAATCAAAATAGGTAAATTTAATTCTTTTTTAAAACAAATTGTAGTTAGGATTTTATTTTTTAGGAGGAAAAAAAATCGGGCAAGTGATATTATAAATGTATAGGACATTTTTTTTTCTACCTATAATCAGAATAGGTAAATCAACTGTCTAAAATGACATTAGTAGTTGCTGAAATTAAATTAGCAGCTTGTTTAAAGATTTTCCCGATCATTAACATAATTAATGTAGCATCTACAAATATAAATTTAATAGTTCAAGTTTTATCAATATACATAAATAATCAATAAATTAGATCTTTAATTACAATCTGTTTTATCTTATTTTTGGGAGAATACTTTTTAAAAAGTGCATTACTCTAGGCTTGAATTTACTATACGCTCTCTGTTATATTATATCTTCTAGTCACTGATTTTGAAAATCATTATTTTTTTAATAGGGATATCAGATGCTCATTTTACTTACAATGTGCTTCGAGCTATGATCAACTTGTCATTTCTGGTAAAAAAAGTTTCTATTCAATATTTAAATGTATGTTTCATTAATAAGCACTTCATAGAGCTACATAGATATATGTGAATTAAAAATGTACATTACAAGTATATTGTTATATAGTTTTCTTGAGTTTATAGTTTATTGTATAATTTTGTTATAAAAATTATTTATGAAAATCTTTTTAAAAAAACCTTGTCTATACTTAATAAAGATATTTTCCCTATTTCGATATTTTTTCAAATCCTATTTTATTTAACTGTCAACACTGTGATTTTTATTTTTAAAAGATGTTAATTTATTTTCAAATCATGTTGATCTCTCGAAATGGGGGAACCTTTTCAACGTTAGGATAGCAAATGATAAAAAAGGATAACCAATCAGCTTGAAAAAGTGAAGCTTTGAAAGAAAAGATCTACCAGGTTGAAATAGTTATGTAGTTCAAATCATACAGCAGAATGATGAATCACTTCAAAACTGCTTGTGGACCTATATATATGTATTGTTTTGCTAAATTAAATTACAAATAAAATGTTTAAGTTAAAAGTTGAGAGTTATACATAACCAACTATCTGTTCCAAAATAAATTTATTTGTTTAGGTGTAAGTAAGTTGCTCTTTGCCTGTCAGGTTACTGGGCAATGCAGATTTTGCGCAAACTTTAGTACGCTCAGCCACCCCAACTCTTAGGACAGCTCTACCACATATTTCAGATCTCTTCTGTAAATATTATTAACCCATTCCTTATGGTGAGCTGGTCACACTAGTGATGGGCAAAATTATCTGATGCTGCCCCAGCTTTCACTATTGCTAAGATATCTGCATGACTGATAACTAGTGTTTTAAGTTCGGTGAATTTGTCAGTAAGTCCGCCAAATATGAACTTTTAAGCAGGCATTTAGGTCTTGATAAATACCTTTTGCGTGAGACCTTGATGGTGTAGTTTGCTGCATACCAATTTTAGATGGGCTGCAACAGGCAGCAGGGTGATCGTTCATCTATCTATCTGTGCTTTTCAAAAGGTTCAAAGTTCACAGATTTCCCAGAGGGCATGTGGTAATATATATACCGGACGCGATTAGTTCCCTCCAGTTTAAAGCGCTATATAAATTAACACATGATACTAGATCTAGTACCATCTACTGTAATACAGATGGTACTAGATCTAGTGTCATCTACTGTAATAAAGATGGTACTAAATATGTGAGATCCTCCTTATGCTCCAATTTTAATATATATTCAGTAATAACAATCTGTATATTTGACTTCTGATTAATTTTATGTAATAAAATCTACTGACATAAAACTTATAACTCATCTGAAACTATTTCAACAGCTAAAATAAATGGTGAAGGAAAAACGTTAAAACTAAAAGGGGAGGTTACGGGCGTGGGTTTACCGATATCAATTAAAATTTTTGGTGATACTGGGTCAAAAATATAAGACCCATGTCCGAGTATTCTTATCGATGCCCCGGGGACAGAAACAAAATATTTTATAAAAGTTTATTATTTTTTTATATTACCGTATTCTGACTTTGTTCTGCATGAATTTCAAATCTATTATATATCAATCGATTTTTTTTTTGTAATATAAAAAAAACATATTGCTAATGTATTCAACAAATTCTGATGTATAATAAATCACAAAAACCCAAAGAGACTTTCAGTAAAGTAGACCAAATAAATTTTTTCATGAAAAATCTATTGAGATTCGTTTTTAGTCTCCACTTAAACTCTTAAATATGAATTTACTTTGTTTTATGGGAGGATTTGTTTTCATGCTGTTCGCTAAAATATTCATAACTGCTCAGGATTTTTTCCTAATTCAACTTTACTACAACCGTTGAAAAGCTCAATTATTGCTCTTCAAAATCATATCAATAAGGTATAGATTTTTTGGCTTTATAAGGAATAAATAAACAAAAACTTCCCAAACGTTTTTATTTTATATCTCCAAGCCTAGTTTATTCGTGGCCATCTGGTTTGTGCCATTTTGTCTGTATTATAGGTCCCTAAATTCATGCTACTTTTCAAGTGGATGAGTGGAGCCTTGTCGAAGTTATCACAATTTTTGTGATTTTCGAAGACAAATTGGATGGTCTAGTCTAGGCAAAAAGATCCTCCAAAAAAAATTATTTTTCGATTGCTATGAAAATTCATATTTAAGAAGGGTTTATCAAGGTGAGGTTATAAATCTCAATTCCATATCTCCTTAAACAAATATTTTGACACACTTTACTCTTAAGGCCAGTCCTAATTGCTGCAATATTGTATTCATACTACAGCTGTATTCCAAATATATATGTATATATATATATATTTTCTGTACTGGATTAATAAATATATTTAAATATTGAGGAAACTGTATATTGACATCGAAAGTAAGAATACATGCACAAATCTGATATTTCGTTGAGTTTGTATTGTTATATTATACACAACATCAGGAAATATATTTTTTGGAATAAATAAAGATGAAATTCGTTTTTCACAACTCTAAAAACCATTAAATACAAATATTTGTTGTAATCGAAAAATTTAAATTTTTTTGATGCCTTCTATTAATAACTTCTATGATATCCATCTATGTTTTTTAGCTTTGCAGTAGATATTAGTAGAGCAAAATATATCTATTTTTTGAATACAATAAAAAATAGCGATAACTTCGAGTATGAGAACAATGTAGAATGATGATCTATGTAGAATGAACTTCCAGTAGATCTGTGTCTATATTAAAACATGTTTATTACAATATTAGTAAATAGTATATATAAGTAAATTACCTTATCGATATAGATACGGTCATATGTCCTATATATTTCAATGTCTTAGACATGTCCTGAAATCACTAACTCCATATTTTCCCTTTCAGTACAACTCAAAGCTTGAAACATCATGCTGTCAACTTGTATAGCATACGGTGTAGCACTGTATCAGAAATTCCTCTATAAAGAATCTTTCTCCTCTAGAAAACTGAGAACCTAGTTTAATACTATTGCTTGTAAGTTATAATCCCTCACTGGCAAAATTAATCAATTCTGCCATATTGCTCCATTACCTATGAGTAAAATTTACAAGCCTATTACATTCATTAGTTGGAACAACTATGATGATCGAGAAGAGCTTAAGAGAGAAAAATAATAATCAATTACAGTAAAACTACATCCTGCTGGTTCAGTGGCTGAAATAACTAAGATGATCGAGAAGACCTATGGAGAGAAAAATAGTAATCAATTAGAGTAAAACTGCTTCCTTCTGGTTCGATGGCTGGAACAACTAAGATGATCTAGAAGACCTGAGGAGAGAAAAATAGAAGTTAAGTATAGTAAAACTAGATGCTGCTTTTCTTATGATGGCTGCTTTGGTATTTGAAAACACTAGCATGAACTGGAAAGACGTATGAAGAGAGAGTGTTTCTACAAGGGATATGTACAAGATATATACCCAGTCTGATGATTGGATTCTTGTGTTTATGAAGTGGAAATGTTGTTAGTTCTTTTTCAGAGAGGAGGGAAGGAAAATAGGAGTACCAAACAAATGATTCTGGTGGTAGGGCAGCAACTTCATAGCCTCTGGAGTCGCAATCTCATCCAGGGTGGTTTCTTAGGAAATATAAACGCAAAGCTGTTATTTTCCATTTTAAAACGACTAAATTACATCCGCCACCTATTTCTATTTGAAACCCGTAAATTCCTAATTACTTCCTTAATATTTTCTCACTTCGACTATTTCTGTACGCTATATGGGAGTGTCTCCGGGGATCTCGAGGCGAAATTAAAACTTTTGATAAATTGTCTTGTATGATTCATCTTTGGGATCCCAAGGGACACCTCTATTTCCTGTTATTATGAAGAGATCAAATGGCTTTATCCTTCCTACCGATGAAAGTATTTCCTAGCATCCTTCCTCTCCCAAGTCATTCAATCCCACCGTCCTTCATACATCTCTGAGCTCCTTAAATTCAAATCCTGTGTCCACTCCCGCAAAACCCGTTCCCAGTCTTCAGATTTGTATACAAGATCCCACCGAACCGCTGCTTTCGACAGATCTTTCATTATTTGATCTACATCCCTATGGAATTCTATCCCATCCTCCATCCATCACTCAAATACCCTTCTCACCTTTAAATCCCACCTGTTCAATTACCTCTTATCCGTCCAGTTCTCATAAAATTGTAAATAAAATATGTATATAAATAATTAGTTTGTTTTAAATAACTTTATTTCATTTTTTTCTCTTATTGAAAATTGAAAGTAAATAATATTCTTTTCGTTTATTTATTCATTATATAAATCTGTTTATTTTGTAATTATTCTCTGAGGCTCCAAAGCCCACATTTCTATCTCTGTACATTATTCTAAAGGCATTTGTCCCAGAATATATAAAGCATTATTATTATTATTTAAAAAAAAATGTTTACTATACATGTGCTCATGTCAGTGTCTTTGAGTTTTTTTTTTGTACTGTTCTAGCGAGTTTGCATGGTGTACTGAGCTGCTGAAACCTGTGGGGCCGCTGCTCCCCAAGTGCCTGCATGCAACAGACACTCCTAACGGGATTTATATATAATGTTATTCATATATAATTTATATATATATATATATATATATATATATATATATATATATATATATATAATCACAGTAAATGATCAAAAATAAATTATTAAAATCCACCATAGGTGCCTTTTACAGAATCAGTTAGTATTTCTTGATTCAGAGTATAATTTGTGTTTTCAAGACAAAGCATTTTCATTTATTAGCTTTATTTATTTAGCAGATAATGATAATAGATTATAAACAGAAATTTACATTAATGAATGCCAAATACCCCTTCAATTGTCCTATGACTATTAAGGAGTTTTGAGAATAATATTAATAACAAAACATTCTAAACAGAACATATCTCCCCCCTCTCCTCTTTCTACAACTAAATAAAATAAATTTAATTGAAGAGAATAATGGTTGGGGTGATCAGTCAAAAAAGTAAAAATTAATAAGTATATTTATTTTTATTTTTGCCGATGTTCAGGCCTTCATCAGGGCTAAGAAAAAAACAGATTACAGTAGGTATGAGAAACTATAAACATTAAATAATAAAAATATATATAAATTTTTTATTATTATTTAATGTTTATAGTTTCTCATACCTATTGTTATTTTCATCTTTATTTAAACATAAAGTAATTGAATATGTATAAATACGCATTATCATAAAACAGTGT